CAAATCCAAGTTTGATTGCTTAATTAAAGAAATGCTTTGGATCAAATAACTGAAACCTACACTTAACAAACAAACTGATTCAGTCAAAGCCAAACTGTTTATCTAGTTAATCTGCTAAGAAGGGCTAATTATTGCTTAGCTCCACTGTGACTCCACACAGTAGGCCCTATTGATATGTAAATCAATTACTTACTTCCTGTCACTGCTTGGTATTTTTGTTTTTAGTTTTTTCAATTTACTTGATCTTGAGAATGGTTCCATGATGGACCTGAAACGTCGATCTTTCTTGTCATTAAATTTTGTTTTGAGATTATGTTCTTAATTGATATTTTTAATCTATGGTCTTTTTAATTAATTTTCTTTTTTATTGGAAATTCCGTAGTGCAGAGTAAATTTATCAAAACCCATTAGGTTTACAGTAATATGAAAAAAAATTTAGTTTTTACAGTATGAAAAAAAAATTAGTTTATACAGAAATAGTATCTAAAATGATCTCAATTTCCAAAGTTAAAGCAAAAGATATAATCTAAACACACAATATTAGGCAGGATGTATTTGTTTGGAAAAGAACCCACTCTTTTGCGAAATTAAGAGGGTATCTTTGAATATTTTATCATTGAATGTTAATTCTTGCAAAAAGTAAAATGTAAATGGCAATTTGTTTGATGTTAGATTCCTTTTAATAACTAAATTATTTAAGATAAAAAAAATTGCATATATTGAATCAAGAAAATCAGTTTTAATACAGAATTTGATTATTGGGGCCATTTTTACCTACCTGTCATATGGGGCCATTTTTACCGGGGCCATTTTTTCCGGGGCCTTTTTTTCCGGGGCCATTTTTTCCGGGGCCATTTTTTCCGGGGCCATTCTTACCGTACACCTTCTTTAGCTGTGGTGCTTCTTTAATCAGCGAACGATGGGCCATAACTGCTGCTCACTGCATGTAAGATATTATTTTCACATTTTGTCTGCCCTTAAATATTAATCATTTTATTCTCATATCAACAAACTACTTAAATTTAATTCAAAAGATAATAATGTATTGAATTTTTGGTTAAAAAACTGTGAACGAAAATGTATTACGATATACTTTATTGCTTAACCATTTTTCATCGGAAATGGTCTTTTTAAAAGATACCAAAGTTGTTGTAGATACAATACAAAGCCGTAGACTATTGCAGCCGTCCAATCTATTTTTCCTAGAAATTCCTTTTCAACTTCATATATTAGTTTTAATTTCTGAAGTTGCTTGGAGTGACCTCTAAGATCGAAAGGTTTGGAGGCCTATATACATAGTGAGGATTTGCATTTTATCTGCACCTTTTCCAGTTTAGTGATATCTCGTTTTAAGATGGGGTTTCATATAACGGCACCGTCTCAAGTAATAGGTCTTATACTTGATGTATAAAGGAATAATACTTTTCTTCAGTAAATTTTGTGAAGCATCACTTGATCAATCCTAGCCGCTGCTCGCTACTAACAGGCTTTAAGTAATGCTATTAATTATTATGTGGACATATGTGGACTTACGCTTTTGAGAAAATGTAAAAATTTGCCAAATTAAACTTAAGGTACAATAATAACATAAAAACTCTACAACATAAATGTTCTCGATATAAAGTATCAAAATTTTAATAAAAACGACAAGATTCAAAAGTTAGAACATGTTCATTGTCCGACCACGAACCTAAATGTTTTCCAAACATTGCTGGATAAGTTTTTATTGAATTGCCGATAGCTAGGCCTACCCTCATGCTCTGCATTGTCTATTGTCAGTAAAATAGAGCAAGAAGTATAGATATACCCGTCATCGAACAGATTTACTAAAGTTAACTGTATATAATACAGTAAAACGTTTTTTTCGTAGATACCGGTAAGAACCAATAAAATTTGCTATGGCTAGCACTAAACAATGAAGGTGAATTATTTCATTGAAATAGAGTGAGCAAAAAATTTATTGACATTATGTAGCATATGTGGGGAGTTAATACCACTACTAACAAAAATAAATGATAAAATTACAGACAATTGCAATAACACTTGATTCATCTTAAATGTATGAAAAATATCATATCGGTACGACGGTACATGAGTATAGTATTTTTTCCTTATTAAGCACCTATTTGTCCTGTCTCTTATACACATCTTTTTCGAGATATTGAAAAATATGGGGCGTGGTTCTTCAAGATGTGCAAACGCAATTTACCTCAAATTTGAAAGCTTATAACTCGAGATTGGTTATAGCTATCAGAGTCAAACTTGGTATTCTAACATAGTTGTTGCCATATTTCACAAATATCGCCTTAGATTAACAGTTATCCCTTCACTTTTGAAGTTATCTGCACTCAAATTAGACGATGCAAATTTTTTTGTGATTTTCAAGGTCACCTTGCTTCCATTTGAATGGGTATATACCCCTCATATAACAGGTGTATTATCTAAGTGTAGTTGTCTCTAGCCACTTGAAAGCGCAGGCTGATCAAATCAATTAAGATTGAATGGTATATATTCAAAGTTGGGACCAGATCTATAAAAGTGAAAAAATGCCTATGTTTCTCAACAACAGATCGTCTTGTGGAAAGTTAAAATCTTTTCTTAAATTTACCCCAGTTAACCAGATATATTGGATCTACCTATAAACTAAATTTCAGGTTTAGTACTCAGCTCTTTCATGGTTAGATACTATGTTGAAAACTACACAATAACATAATCGGAAATCACGAAGGTTTTTGAGAGTTGAGTCATTCTATGCCAACTCAACAAATGCATTACACCAGGATCATAGATTTCTAAATTTTGTTTTATTGCTAACTGCATGTACCATTACATAATGTCACGTTTTCTAGCGTTTGACTTGAAATAAACTTTTTTTTGCAATAATCATAGTTATTATCAAGAAATAGTTATTATCAAGTTAATAATCAAGAAATGACAAAAAATGTGTTTAGAAAACGTTTTGATAACTAGACGAAAGTGAATTGCAAAAAGTATACCTCCGTCACATACCCTATATAATATGCAAGTTAGCTTGATTATACATATTATTTGGGGACATAATTTATAGGGCATCCGTATCTTGACAACCGCTGGTCGTATAAGTTAATTTTCTTTCAAAATATTCAGTAGGTCTATATACATGTTTCTATTTCTTCCAATGAGATATATTTCCAAAAATAACATAACCTTTGACACATAATGTACTCCTCCTTTAATCTTTAATTTTTAACCCCTCGCGGAGACATTTAGAAAAATTGCTCTTCTGCTCTGTTTTTGTTGTTCGTACGCCTTTTAAATCAAACGCTCAAAATGTCATGCTTCTTTCACAAAATGCGCGGTTTGGCAATTTTTTTTAGGCCTTTTCTCATACATTCCAAGTTAAAAGAAAATTATTACAATTGTGGGCGAAGAGGTCATGTTTTGTTGTTACATTTGTGGGCGTTACCACGTGATCGTTATTACAATTGTGGGCGCTGTTTGTTACATTTGTGGGTGCTGGTTGTTATATTTGTGGGCGCTGGTTGTTACATATGTGGGCATTATTACATTTTGTGGGCGGTGTGCTGTTACATTTGTGGGAGTTGTTACAATTGTGGGTGTTTTCACATTTGTGGGTGCAACACACGCCTTCCAAAAAAGCTAGCCCCTCAAGACGTTCCTCATTAGAAATCTATATAGCAACAAAGTACGCTCATGTAGTTAAAAATCACATCATTTCATATTATCGTGCAAGCTGAAGACTTTTCTTTCCCTTCATGACCTCAACCAGCTTTTCCATACTTCAATGGCCTACACTTGATTGGTGGCTAGAAATACAAATGTGCATTTTAAAAGTTAGGCTCTCGGTGTATTTTTGTTACGTTGACGACTTTTTTTAAAAAAGGCAAACAAAATATATATCTTAACTTTAGGCTAATTAATAACTGTACGTAATCATTATAAAAACAACTGTTTAAGTAGGAAGTGGATAATTATTATTTAGTCACTGTAATCAGAATGCGAATGTTAGCTTAAAGTCAAATCAAAATTCGAATGGGTGTACACCCTCCAATTTTGTATTTCTTATCTGCATTCTATAAAATAGTGTTACAAACTGCATCAATCAATTCCCACAAAAGTGTAAACACGATGTTTCACGAACAACATTAACAAACAAACAGCTTACGCATGCGCAAGTTTCTCAGATTGCATGTATTTCACCATAATTGACGAATACTCTTTAGTTTATCGAAAATGAAATTTTGTACATTGCTTCAGTCGTCCTTCCATTTGAATAAGCATACCAGTAAGACGTTTTGGTAACAACATCATCATCATTACTCCAAACAATTTACTTCAGTACTTCGATAGCTGTATCACTCAGGTGATTCGCCCTAAACAATGCATTATTTTTACAAGGTACCAATCTGCAAGATAGAAGTGTTTTCCTGCTGAGTATCGAAGAATGTCGCAGTCTATACCCCGAGTATAACGTAACTGACAATATGATTTGTGCTATGTATACTTCTAGCCTTGTACTCGCTTTATTCGTAAGTTATTTTTCATATTACTTGTGATCACATAGATATTCAAATGCCATTTTATATATTTACATTATTATGAATAACGTTTTTGAATAAGAATGGAGATGTTTGAAATTATAAATAAAAGAGGAATAAACATGTTTTAATAATATTTTATTTACATACGATCAGATTTATTTACAGCCCCAGTTCCGGTTTTTTTTTCAATTTGTGATGAAGATGATAATAACAAAAATAATAACAATATCAATAAGTCTAATGATAAGCAAGTAATAATAACAGCAATTACAATAACAGTCACAATTATGATTTAAATGATAGTAATGATGATGAAAAAAAAGACGGCGATGTTACAAATAAAGATGATGCTTATATTATTATTTTTTATATAATCGTATTAGGCGTAATAATAATAATAAAAATAATAATAATAATAATAATAATTATTATTATTATTATTATTATTATTACATTGATATGCTAATATTCGATTCAATACGTTACCGACAGAATGAAAAAGGTGGTCCTTTGATGTGCGAGTCAGATGATGGTACCTGGAACCTTGTCGGTGTCAAAAGCTTTGAAGTAGGATTCATGGCTGGAGTATATATTAAAGTGTCTAAATATGCAGAATTCATTCAGCAGACAATAAGTAAGTTTATTTGTGAATAATTATATTATATGAACATCTGAAAAACAAACTTTATAATACATTTAAAACAAGCTTGCAGAGGGAAAAGTGAATATGTTGTAAAACTGAATTTTTTAAAGACACAAAAATGGTGTTTTACAAAAAAAAACCCCTCAGAAGTGGCATACAGTAACGGTATAACCCCAACATATGTTTGAATATTAAGAAACTGTGGAAAGGAGGAATAACCACCCCTTTATATACCTTTATCCAACAGTTTTTTAATATATATAAAAAAGACTCATTGTATGTCATTATCCGTTCCCGAAATGTCATGATCAATTATTTTTTCCCTCTGCATTCTGGGTGTAAACAAAAAGTTAATACCACTTATATAT